GTTTTAAGGTTTTATTTGACATTGAAGTGGTGAATGCTTTTGCATGCTTAGCTGGGGTCAGGTGAACATATCTGTGATTGCAAATGTAACATGGGTGAACTGACTTCCTTCCAATCACTTGGTTTAATTTAGAAGCTAGTGAAATATTTTTAATATTTAGACAATCTGATGAGTTATGTCTTCGCTGTTTGGTATGGGTGAAGAAATATGTAAGAAATTTTTGTTGGCAGAAGAAATGTTATAAATTCCATGTGACTTTTTATAGTTCTTTCCTGTTTGTTTTTTGTCTTCACAGCTGATAAATTTCTATTTAATTTCTTTGCTGTTCTGTTTGGAAGTCTCAGGTATTTTAGCCATAGTAATTCTTTTCAGCATTATCTGCTAGGCTGCTACTAACTGTAAAGATTCATTGTAAGGTATGAAACGTAATGAAGGACCAGCAGCTAAAGAGATTAGGAATACTGTAAACCTACTAATCATTGTGGCAAAAATATTTTATCTTCTGGAGAAAGCCATTATTTCTGCTGATGACAGCGTTGCTGCTGTCAAGTTTTGCTTACGTCTTACAAAGTGCTGTAGGACTGAAGCTTTTGATCAGAAGCCCTGATTTTTAAGAAGGGTTTAGATATTGCAAAGTGTTATAAAATCAGGGTATGCCTATGTTATGTTTTTCTGGCTTTGCATTCCTCCTTTGCCTTGGACTTCTCAACCAAACATGAATTAACCTAATTTAAATAATTTTTTTTTCCCAGTAAACTAAAGATAAATCTTCAGTGAGGAATGAACATTTATTTTTCATAGTCATGTAAGTGTTCTTCCCTTTGCAGAAATACAAAATCTTGGCTAGTTTTCCTGGTCTTCAGTAATCCCTCTTACCACTTACCAGTATAATAGTGATAAATCAAACTCCACAACTAAAGGTTAGGGAAGGGAATATAAGTCTAACTATACATTGTCAGAGATGCTAATAAAAAACTATTTGTTTCTTTTTTTTGGTAATTTTAATTACTTGGTGACGCAGATGTGTCACAGGTATTTATTTTCATATACAATGTGATCTGTTAGCTTGGTAGTAAGTTACTTATTATAATGCATCATTTCAGAATGCAAACTTTTTCTAAAATTCAAGCTGTCACATTGTAGGAGGAGTCTGTAAGGAAAGTAGAAAAGCAGATCATATTGTATCTGCTGGAACCTTCCCGCAAACTTGAAAAGCAGAAAAGAGAATTAAAAAAGACTGGAAAGGGAGGGAAATGAGACTAGGACAAGATATGGGCCTGAACCAGAATGCTGCAACTGAAACTGAATTGGTCCTTTGATGTTGGGGACCTGAAGAAGGGCACATTCTGCCTGAAAGCTTACCTACCATTTCTCCCAGATATATAGTTGGTCCAATAAAAGATATTTAAAAAAAAACAAACCCCTTGCATCTTACTTTGGGGTAATATAGATCCTCTCCATTTGGTCTTATGCTGAAGGCATGAGCAACAATAACATCCTTTTCCTGGTTGTTTTCTTACAAGCCATAGTTGAGAATGAAGGTGGAAAGAATTTGTGGGGGTAGGGATAGGGTAGAGAGAATAGATATTGCTTTAACTAGCATGCTATTAATAGATCTAGAAATGTAGGTCTCTAGGGACCTCAGCTCCCAGCAGGGAGGCGCAGGATCTGTTTATCTAAAGCAAAATGGGAATGAAAGAAAATGTCTTTGTCCTGAGATTCCTAGATTATTCAACCTGAGTGCAGTTGACTCTGCGTTGGGTAAGCCCTGTATCCACATGGAGTCCGACAGCCCTCACTGAAGTTTGCATGGGTATAAGAGTCGGTCAGCAGAGTTGTGGAACTGCATTCTTGTGAGAATTCATGGTTGCTGTTGTTCACATGTCTCTTAACTAGCCAAATTCACTACTACCTTGTTTTGCCAGCTGAGCGTGAGCAAAAGCTATCTTCACTGGAAAAAAAACTACAGAAAGATATTCCTTATGGCCATTACATTAAGGCAGGTAGGTGCTGGTAATGCTGAGCTCTGTTCGTGTAGTTGCCTGAATTTCTTGGTAGAGATGAACCATGCCTCACTTGAGGGTGAGGTGGGGTTAGTATATTCAAGTAAATGGAGTAGCAGCTCTCACTTATTCATAGATTCATAGATGTTAGGGTCGGAAGGGACCTCAATAGATCATCGAGTCCGACCGCCTTCATAGACAGGAAAGTGCTGGGCTCAGATGACCCCAGCCAAATGCCCATCCAGCCTCCTCTTGAAGACCCCTAGGGTAGGGGAGAGCACCACCTCCCTTGTTCTAACGCAGCAGCCAGGTGTCTTTTTGCTAGAAGTCCAGGGATAGTGGAAGGATTTGTCTTCTACACAGTTATGGGAAGTTTTCTGCCATGTGG